TACAAGAGATTTCAGCAATAATATTTTAACCTTCTGTTTTCAGAAGACGCGCTATATCAACCCAGATGTTGTGGCGCAGTACACAAAGGTACAATTTTGATGTGATATTATTAGTCGGCAGTATTGTACGTTGTCAGTTGTCCTCGCTCATCAGTTTCTCCTTCCTCCCCCCTCAAAACGCCAATTTAAGCTTATTATATAAGAAGCGGAAATACTGTTCGAAGGCTTTCAAACGAGTTTGAACGAAGAAAATCTTGATCTATTGGAAGAGTATATCGCATCAAGTAAAGTAGTCTTCATAACTATGCACTTGTCTGTCATCTTTTATGTGTCTTTGTTCTTGGGCTTTCTTTAAAAGAATGTCGTCTACCGCTGCGAATTTCCAGGTGGCTTCATCATCAACCAATACTCTAGATTCATTAGAAGAGAAACTGGCCGAAGCAGAAGTAAAAAAGAAGAAGGCAAGGAAACTTATCACAACCCATCAGTTGAAAGCAAAACCGTTCAAGCGTAAGAAGAAATCGTAGATAGTTGTCTGCTGTAATCATACAGTTTTTTTATTATTATTGTTATTTTATTTCTGTTTGAATACTTTTTGTTACCTTCAGTCGTGCTTAAGAATCGTTATTTGCAAATTTTCTCGTTAGATCTTGAGAGCAGAAGTATGCTTGAACATTCCATATAAAGATATTGATGATATGGGATAAGATGTTGTAGCAAGTTCCTAGTTTGTGCTTAAAGGGAGTCTGTTCGCGGGGAGTGGAAATTAAAATTTCCAGCAGGTTAGCCTTTAATTTGTGCCTTTTATGCTTCAGTTTTATCGTGATAGAAGAGTTTAAAATATCCCTCTGGGCATTACCTAATGAGCGTATTCAAGCGTAGTTCTGCTCTATTCTTGCAGAATCTCTGCGAACTTGTGTGTTCAAATGTTTTCCCCCCAAAAAGTCTTTAAACTTCTAGAGACATGTTGAAGACTTCCTATGTTGTTATTACTTTATTGTTGATTTTGATTGTTTTGCATTTGATACTTTGTGATAATTGCATAAACATATCAAAAAACTTCTGCATTGTAATTGATTATAAATGTCAGAGACGTTGCCAAGATATGCCTATTTGAGATGTTGTCTTTTTGGGAAATTCTCCCTGAATATCACCGAGGATATCCCCGCGAAAACTCATCTCTGCCATCTCCACGACGTTTTTTATGGGCTTCTGGATATAATTCAATGACAAAGCGAAATTTGTGGGATGCTAGCACTTAAATATGGCTGATTTCAACAACAATCCTATAAAAGGCGTTTCGATGACATTAATATCAAGTCGTAAATGATTTTACGATTTTATAGGATATTGTCTGCGCATCCATGAGCGGGTATTCCATCAATGCACCAATTTCAACTTTGAGGAATTGTGACGCGGAGTGGAGAAGTGTCATGAGAAGGTTGGATATGTGATTAACCTTCTGTTTTCTTCCATGTTCTAAGGTTCTCGTGAAGATTTTCATCTGGAGAAGTTCAGTTCTGCTTTCATATTTCACGCAGCCTTGTTCGTCAGAATTAGGAGCTTTATCCTGGAAATCCTCAAAAAATTGTTAAAGTATGTTGAACTTGTTTCCGA